GGCGGGGGCCCCGCGCCCGCACCGCCCGCACCCTGGCGCGCCCCTGACGCCGCGTCCCGGGAGCCGGAAGCCCGCGGCTCCTCCAGCCCCAAGCGGTCCCCACCCTCGTCAGACCCCAGCACCTCGCCTTCTCTCCAGAAGGTACGTGAACGCTGTAGTCACTCGAACCCGTACCTGAGAGCGGGGTGTGAGGGCATCTCCTGGTTTCATCTTTCAAGGAGAGGGAAGGCTCCCTTCTGATCCCTTCGGTGTGTCTGGGCGAGTGACCCAGAATAAACCTTTTCCCCCTCAAATACACACACACACACACACACACACACACACACACACATCCCCTCAAAAAAAATGTAGGAATTGCCTTTGACCTTAACTTTTTTGGATCTACTGTACATACCATTATAGAAATTTCTTACAGACACCAAATCCCTAATCTCCCAAGAATAGGGGGAAAAATGTGCTGAGCAAGAGAAGACTCTAGTGAAGGACTTGTCCTGAAATGCATAAACAACTTCCAGATAAGAATCATCCTTTTCCTAACTCCTCCCTCACTCCCACCTCTACACTCCCACCCCTGCATCCCTGCCACGTTCTAGGTAAGGCTCTGAAGGAAGGAAATGGTTGTATGCAGAGTGGGTGCTGTGGAATCATCATGTTTACAGATGGCTTACGTTTAGCGGTCTGTAGAGTGCCAGCGTCAGAACCCAAAACAAAAGACTGACAGAAGAGAAATACAAAAATTTCCAAATCCTCTGGCTCTCAAAATTTCCAAACACCGTTTTTGTTTTTTTTTCCAGAGTGGTATAGTAGTTTCATGGCAGATCCTGACACTACAAATTCCAGTTCTAACATGTATGGTTTTACGACCCTGGAAAGTTATGTAACAACAATTTGAGCTTCAAGTTTCTCCTGCCTCCCTTGCTGGATGTGAAGAATGGAGATGCAGGAACTCGACTATAGCAAGTACTCAGTAAATCTTGGCTCTACTTTTTTTTTTTAATTGCAGAACACCCTAACTCAGTCTTTCTTTAGATTATACACATCTGTTTTCGTTTTTTGGTGTGGGGTGCCTGTACGTGTATTGTCAAAGGAGAATGCAACGTTTTTATCATCTCTGGCCTAATCAAAATTTCTCTAATTTTAACTAATGAATTTATATAACTTCCCTCTACTGAAGAGTACAGCCTAATACACTGGATCCTTTGACAGTCTGTTGCACAACAAATACCAACATAGAACCAGTATATGTCTCTGCATGAAAATATTAAAAGGCAATCTTACCCTTTCTTAGGTTTTGGCCTAATAATAATAAATCATGATGGGAAAATTACATAAGTTCTTAGGAAAAGTTCAAGTTATAACTGAGCAGCCAACTAGAAAAACTGTAACCTAGCAGTTCTCATCAATGAAAACTGTTCCTGCACATACTTCTGAGTCACATTACCAAAAAAAAAATCACTATCCCCTTCTTATAACGAGAAACTGGGGCTCAGAAGAAAACTATGATTCATCCTCACAGGAACTCTATGAATTAGGTACTACACTACCACCATTTTACAAGGAAGTACATCCAACCTGAGGAAAAGCTAGAAGTAAATCCTGAGTTTCCTTTAGTCCCTTAGGATACCATAACAGTCCTGCCAGCACAGCTAACAAAATGGTATAAGGGTAAGTGACTGTTGCTAAAAAAAATTCAATCTATGGACATGAGCCCTTTAATTTAGATCAATTTGGCAACCTGACATTAGCACTGTGCTTTCCAAGCCGAGATCACTACTACCGCAGGAAATCTGCATTTGTTTATGAATAATCATGCTACCCAGGGTATAGCTGCTATGTGATGATTCATTTGTTCCCAAGACCAGTTTCCTCTTGCTTCACACTTTCTCCCTTCTATTCAGATCCTACTCCTGATTGAGACTGCCTTTATCATCACCAACTCCCTCATCATACTGGTTTACCTAAAATTGTTTTGTCTGCCACAGTATTATTCCATTATTTGGCTCTCCCTATCGTTTGCACTCTACTTCAGAAACATCTCCCATCTGCTTTCCTTTCTTCTACTGTAAATCTTTTTCATTTTAATTTACCTTGGCCTACTGTCAATTAATTTGGTTATTTTGCTCTTGATTTTACATGATTTTAGTACTATCCAATGCCTCTAAAATCTCTTTTTATTCTCATCCTGATATACCTCCTCAATTTCATTTTTATACCATATACATCCTTTGGATGTGTTCCTACATGCAATCTCAGCCCTGTTACTAACACAAAGCCACTAGTCCAAATATGGTATCTTCAAGTAAATTTAAAGTCACTCCTGGCAAAATTTTCTTTGCCTTTTTTTTTTTTTTTTTTTTTTTTTTTTTTTTTTTTTTTTGGCATAATGGGGGATTGAACTCAGGCCCTTGCACTTGCCATGGAAGCACTTATTCCACTGAGCCATCTCCCCGGCCCCTTCTTTGCTTTTTAAATTTGTCTTTAAAATCTGGACTAGGGGCTGGTGAGATGGCTCAGTGGTCTAAAGCACCTACTTAGAACAAGTTTAGCAAAGCCCAGGGACCACGGTTCAATCCCCCAGCACCACAT